TGATTTTTTTAGTCCACATTGAATATAGCAACTATTTAATATGTCTTACTGTTGTGGAAATAAGTTTAGCCAGGCCTCTTACTCGACTAAGGAGAGAGAGAAAGAGAAGAGAAAAGATGCTAATGCTGATGCTATGTGTTTTAAAATGTTCTAAGATAAGGAAAAACCTTCATGCCTTGTTTTGTCTGTGTGCAGATGTTAACTTCCTCCTGTCCACTGAACCAGAAGCTGATAACTGTTCCCAAAACATAGTGTTTTGTTTTTTTCTAAATAAGCAAACTGCTTGCTTGTGACAAATGAATGATCAACATCTTTCTGTTTCTCTCAAGGTTGCTTTGTCTGAACCCTGCATCTTTTCTCGCTGTCTAAAGTATAAATACGCTTGTAAATGTGTAGAGGTCAGAGTTCCTTTGAGAACTCTCCCTGTGATCACTTGTATAGCTTTAAATAAACCTAGATGGCTCTGCCAATTCTAATACAACCACAACGCAAAGTTTGATTTCTTCCACAATTTGGTGCCCTGACTCGGAGAGAGATGCCCGGAGTGATCAGTTGAGATACAGACCGTCTCCTCACTGACGCCCCGGTGCCAAACTAAGGTAAGAGACCTTTTGAAATCTCTATTGGGGCTTTTCAGTGAGAGACTGCCTGTGTGTTTTCCTGTTCACTGCTTGAGGCTTACCTTATCTGACTCTTTTGCTGCCAGAATTGTCAGACCCACTATGTAAGTAGGAACTGTGAATTAAGATTAAAGAAAAGAGTAAAGAAACTGTGTTGCTGCTGTCAGTGAATGAATCCCGGTGTGAACTGAGTTAAATTCTGCAAAGAACTACCGGGTCTTTCTGAAGCCAGGAGTGGAAACCTTGTGCAGCCACCCCGAGGACACCAGACTGTGTGCTCTTCGAAAGCAAGGGTGCAAGGTGGAAACTCTTAGACTGAAGGAGATCAGGGTTGTGTGACAAATTTTCCCTACCCCCACTCTCATGAATGAGCCGTGTCTAACAGTGAGCAACTGCATTGTGTGCTGGTGCTATGGACATTAGCCACAGCATTTCATTCCGCTAGCAAATCTCACAACCTGACCGGACACCCTCAATAAGCCTCCCCTGTGTGAAAGACCTGTGTGAATTGAGGTTAAAGATATGGGGAGCGGAGGGTCTAAAGACGTACCGGCTCTGCCAGAAGGGACTCCAGCATTGTACGTGTGCACACACTAAGGCCATAAGAGTTGTAAGTTTCTAGGCAAATGGAACGGGTATACCAGAGATGATGCTAGCTTGCAGTTTCCCCTGGAGGGAACATTTGATTTAAGTAAAATCATTCGTCTCCGCGGAGCCCTTGAGTCAAGAGGCGGTAAAACACCACAGCCTCAGTGGGGCACATGTTTTGATTGGTACGCAGAAGCTTCCAAAAGAAGTCAAGAATCTCAAGTTCAGAGCCTTAAGGACTCCCAAGAAAAACTAAAATCTCAGATTAAAGAATTAAAACTGAAAAGTGCACCAAAAGGGGATCCCCCATCAACAACATTATCAGCACTAATACAACTTTATCCACAATTGACTGAGAATGAATCTGTAGAAGACATAATTGATTATTTTTAGTGTGCCACCCCCAATCCAGTCCCAGGAGATCTCCTAAACCCTGTTAAGCAACTCCCCAATATCAGGGAAGAACCCCAGAAGTTTAGAGAGGAATTGGAAACTGTAAT